GGTGTAGATTATTATGATTTATGAGTAAAAATTATTTTACGAGCAAAAATTATAAACTATTTTGAGACATATTATATTATTATCATTATAAGTTTTAAGTGTATAACTTATTTGTTGAATATTTCGTCATTGAGTCAACGCGCATCATTATTCAGAACATTTTTGTCATAACTACAGTGTATGATAAGCAAAACAAATTTTATAAGTTTCACTTGAATAAAGATATACCTATAGCTGAAAAAAGTCGTGTAAAGAATATTATTTTTTTCAGAAGAGGTGCAGAAAATATTCCACACCTATTATCTCTTCACGATCAAATCAGTACTTATTTTAGTTTTTAGTTTTTTTTTTCTGCTCAAAACAGTTGAATATATTTGTATACGTTTTAAATTCTACATCATATATTTTTAATTTGAAATATTGCCATTTTTTGATAAATAGTGTGGATTTATATTTTATATTGTATTTTTCTAGGTTTTGAGTTAAGATTTTCACTTCATTAAACTTATAGCCCAAGGTAATAGTATATTACTATATTAGCTTAAACTCACTGATCTACAGTCTTAAGTATCTAACAACCCTCGGCATCTACWCAACGATTGAATAAGTTAAGGCACAGATCTCAGCGTAATCGCCACGTCACTAGCCGTAGCCTAGAGATAGTTAAGTGATGTAGGTATGACCAATCGTTATTGGCAATGGAATAAGAATCGTATAAATATACAATTAGTTAATACAAACCAATTAAACTTATTAAATGAAAGAGAGGCCCTTCACAGATAAAACAGATGCCAGAAATATTAATTTAACCACACAAAATTACCTGTGTAGAAAAACACACGTCATAGATATCTACAAGTTAGCTACGATTTATAAAATATTAGACGTTTGTGGAAATCACAAAGTTCACCAAGCAAGGCTTAAAATAAAAATWAGTGCTTATATAATATTGAACACCGAAATAATATAGATTGAAATAACAGCATTAATTTCTGTTTTGTATACAAATTATTAACGTTAATAATAATAMTTCCAATACGATAATTTCTGATTTATAACGTGCGTTCTGCATAGATACATCCTAACCTATACGTGATACGTGGTCATCTTACAACCATCAAACATCGATCTTTTGAAATATAAACACATCAATTTCAGAGATTTAATTGAAAAGTTCATTCGTAATGTTTGATTGTATAGATAAACTTTAGTAGGAAAATCGGCTAATATGAAGGGACGAAGGTCGTTTATCAGACATTTCAAATGGACTAAACGGACCGTGTTTTGATACCACTCAAGGGACTCACTCAATCAATTTTAACTTGCTTTTTGTTATACGTAATAAATCATTTGACTCGAAATGCCTGAACTTAWTACCTACTTCAGGAGTATGGATGTATTATTTGCAATATAATTTAAGTTTTACATTTGATGTATAATAATAAGTTCGACATGGCGAGCCGTCAGTGGTACCTAAATACAGTCTTTCTTCGGTTGAATTACTGTTATAACTGTGGCTGTAGTCACGTGCCACGGAGGAAAATACAAACACAGGTCGTTAGATAACATCATGGGGAAAACGATGGCCGAATGATTTATACCTATATCACCAGAATACATAGTATTATTGTAACCTACTTTAAACCACGTGCGTGGTGACTACAATGAGCCTGGCTGAGTGRGTGGAAAAATTTAAATAAAATAAATACATAAAAACGTGAATTGTAAAAATAATGTATACCATGAGGGTACATTGTATTGACAGAAAGATATGCTGACCATTGATTGGACTCCACCAACTGAAATTTTTAATTATTTCCATCATAATTTTACTTAAACATTTGTGTACCTAMACTTTGACACTATCTAGTGTTTACAAAGTACAGAACATTATTGTTTATAAATCAATATTTAATTTTTTTTTTTTATCAATACAATAGCAATAGACTTTTAAGTACAAGGCAAAATAAACCTCAAGTTGAGACGGCACGGTCACAACGGACCGGTGGCGTTAGAAATAATAACGCTTGAGTTTTCGCTACTAGTCTTATTCTGTATTTTACATACATATTATATTGTACGATTTGGAGGCAGCGAGGATCACGGGTGCGACGGTCGGTCTATGAAGATGGACCGCCACGGTSAGAGCTCGGTGCGGCCGGCAGTTGCCAGGTCCTAGTTACAAATTTGAAGGAATGTATCGGGGGAACGGACGGTTACAGCCGCCGTATGGACGGGGTCGGTTTACCGGGGTGCGTGACTCGCAAGAAGCTGCTACTGCGGTATACTAGACCCGGATTTCAACGAAACTCGATTAAGTGACCGTAGGAGGGGACGATGGGGAGCGTGACAGTCTTCGACCGATGGAGTTGGCGGTGGCTGTGAATACCGGCGTCTATAGATTGTCCGGTGGAGCGTAGCGACTGCTTGGCTCCTGGTACTTCGTGCGGCAGGTGCTCGCAGTAGGAACGACGTGTGTGAGGCTGATTCACCGTGCATAGGCTGAAGGCTGCTTCCTGCGACTCTGGTCCTCTGAACGTATTGAAACGTCGTCTACTTTGACAGCGCGTTACAGCGGGGCTCTTGTGTGCGGTGGTCGATGATTAGTGGCCATGTAGYGGCGGTCTTGAGCAATTCGAACCTGTGTTSAATTGCGACCGGCGTTCGTTGTTCAAGTTATTCTGCTGGTTGTCGGCGAACTKTAGCGGCTTCGTGGGTCGTTAGGATAGTCAGGTCTTCTGGCCTTCGTTCCTTTTAAGTGTTAGAGTTATTGAAGGTTTGAATGTTAAAAGAAGACTGATGCTGACGCGGTGAAAATGTCTGGTATATACACTAGGTCCCGTACCGACTAGTAAACGCTTGTGTTGCAACTGTTTCTGTTGTGTTTATATTTTGTGCGGGAAGTGATGTTGTCTGCACAGTATTTAGGTTATAGGTATGGGGATAGTATTGTTCGACGCATCTCGGTCTCCCCTTTGTAGTCTTTATTGTTCAGAGTGTGGAATAGCTTTATAATGAGGGCGCAAAATTAAACTACCAGGTTAGGTTAGAAGTACCGTTTTATGTGTACGACGGTGTACTGTTACAAAGTCTATGGTATTTATTTAGAAGAAAAATAATTTGATTAWATATAGTATGATTTAACTGATTACTAACCAGTGATTAGTAACAGCATATCATGGAAAAAATTTAAGCTCGTTGAGTTATGTAAGATATTTTTGACATATTGTACACAGCAGCAACCAGTACAAAGTACAGGTACCGCAGCACCCTGTTTACGACTTAATCGACCACCGCCACGAGTTTCAACGACATGACACCATCGACACTCCCTCCAAGCCGAAAAAACTAGGTGAGTCACAAAGATATCCACGTAGGACGAGTACTGGCCACCGCCGATCTTTTCACCGACAACTCGTCAGTTTTCTTGTCTTTCTTTGTTTTATCGTTTACGACCATAAGATACTCCCTTAACCACGGACCCTATCAAGTAACCACTAACCACACTTTCTTGTTTCTTTTTCGTTAATTTAAAAGGGTAGCTTAAAACATTTCGAGTGTTGTGCACTTTGTTTTTTTTTTATGCGTCACCCGACACTATTAACCCACACAAACAACGACCGTCCTATCACGGACATCCTTCCGGAGACATCACACCCGCCGTAGCCACATCATTTTTATAAAAGCGTATAATGTTAATATATGTGTCAAAATGTAACTTGGTCGAAATTTACTTAACTTACACTTATCTGCATATTATGTAATTTACTCCGTCTTATAGAATATTTACTATGTACAACACAGTGAGTTTGTGTTCAGCKGCTCCAATTCAATGTAATAGTATCTTACCTTTAATAATATAGAGTGAATTTGTATATTATCAAACATAAAAGTAGGAACATTAACTGTAATTTTTTCATTGATTTTTACGATATTTTAATTTTAAGCGTGCTCTGAGAATTTTTAAATACCTTATTTTATCTATTATTTCACATAATAACTCATCGGGCGGTTGTAAACTCCGCCAGAATATCGGTCGAGATAAAAAGGTAATAATAGGTCTATGGTAAACTCCGCCAGTTTTTTTTTCTTACCTATAATGGGTATATGTAAACTCCACCAGTTTTTTTTTTTTACCTGGTCAGTGCGACAGCTC